CGTCGCGATTTTCTCAACGATCTCGCACATGACGCTCAAGGTTGGGTTAAGCTACGACCAGACGTCGTTCAAGCTCCGCAATTCGATCCAATACTGCTGGATTTCCGTCGGGAATTTCACCGTCACGAACTTCCCTGTCCGGAACTCTGTTTTCCGGTGGCGCAATTGCGTCAAACCGTTGATCGATTTCGCGCTTTAATTGACCCAATTGCGTCAGGAATCTCGCGTCAATCCGGGTCAAAAACTCCCCCATGTCGAATTGATGTCCAGCCATGACTTGTTGGATCTGTTGATCTGGCTTTCGGTCTTCGACGCGTGTTCTGTTTTCTTCCGTCGGAGAGCAGGATCAGCTGACGCAGTCCCTTTCGATCTCGTCCACGGCGCGGTTGCCGCCACGCCTTCCTCTGTTCTGTCCTCTGTGAGGAACCAGGTGATGAAGCCACTTGATAACACCAAAGGCAGCGTTGGATCAGAGTCACGCAACCCAAACCCAAAAGAATTGAGCTTCTTGATTCACGGTGAACAAACAGGTCAACTAAACAAGCTTGGGAAGCTTGTTTCGTGATGAAGCGGAATGGAAACGAGAGGGAATCCTCACACCTGGGAGGATGCATAGTCGTTATAAGGTTACATTCGGGTGATCGAGTGAGGTTGCTCGACCAATAGGCCAAAGTTCAACAAGTTTTGATCGCAACCAAAACCAAAACAACTCACAACTCAAAACGTTGAGAATTTGGGGTTTTCTTCACAAAACAATTCTAACTTCAAGATTGATCCAATTGGGATCATATCAGGCCCCCCCTGTAGAAAAAACTTTGTCCTAAAAGCTTGATCTTTCTTCCTTTCAAATTTTGCACATAATTGATCCCAAATAGGATCGAAAGTGGGCTGTTCAAACACATTCTTCGGCAGAAAATTTGCAGCTGTGAATTCGGCTTCAAGCTGATCCAGCACTTTCGAAACTTGCAAGGCTGTCGAGAACCTCTCCTGGGCTGGTAAAAACCTATCTCGTCGACCAATTTTGCCGGAAAATGATCGGAGTAGCAGGTTCGTCGTCGGAGTTCTCCTTTGCTCATGAATGCAGCCAAATAAATTGGGGATTTCGAATTGGAGCATTCCCAATCCAATTCATTGATTCCAAGCTCTTCGCCATGTTTCCAATTGAAGGTTTGGACTTGCCCCCAGTCTCGAATCATCACCATTGTCGACAAACCTTCAGTTTCATCTTTCCCGCCGCCAGCCGTTTTCAAATTTTCGAAACCCAGAATCCTCAATCGAAAATTGGGGCTTTTTGATTCAAGCATCCCTGGACTGAATTGCGTGTTCCCAGAGCTTCCCAGAGTGCCTCCAAACGATTTTACTTCAGCCACTTGGTTCGAATCATGCCCGAACTCCCTAACCAAGAAGCTCGAATTTTGTTCATCTTCGGTCGTTTTTAGAGGGGTTGAAGCTCGAATTCGATCCACCAATTTGGGTTGATCCGACTCTTCCTGAGTTATGGGAGAGCTTCCGAAACCTTATGGAACGTTTCAGCACCATCGGATTGGATCGACGAATTCCCCAGGCTTCCACCCAATTGACCCTCTCTCCTCCCTTGTATTGCCGTCGGCGAGCAACAGAGTGGGGAAGCTGGTCGGCTTTGGAACCCCATAGGGCGCAGCAAGGCGGTTAATGCATGACGTCGATCGAGGAGACTGCTTCCCCTTCGCGGCCCGCCTTCTTCTTTAGCTCGATTAGCGGCCAGCTGACGTTGGTCTTCTCTGACTTCCGCCGGGGACAACGGCGTGAGCTTGAGCTTCTTCCCTCCATGTTCAAAAGTGTAGCAATTGGTGCGTCCATGGTGAGTTACTCCACGATCAAATTGCCATGGTCGGCCCAGCAGGATGTGCGCAATGTGCATTGGCACGACATCGCAGAGAATTTGGTCACGGTATTGATCAATTTCGAAGTCGACCCCAAGCCCGTTTCGTCACTTTTACAGCGCCATGATCGTTGAGCCAATGAAGGCTGTAGGGTTCAGGGTGCTTGCTCGTATGCAATCCAAGTTTTCTTACTGTGTCCAAGCTGATGGCATTTGTACAACTTCCTCCGTCAATTACCATTGACGCCGTTCTTCCTTGGATGGTGCAGCGAGTGTGGAAAAGGTTATCACGTTGTTGGGTTTCGTTGACAGCTTCAATAGTGAGGGCTCTCCTGTTGACGAGAAAAGGCCCTCTTGGAGGTTCCATCTCGAGGTTCTCATCCACCTCCTCGTCTGAGTCCTTATTAGCTATTGCCTTCTCCATTTCGTCATCCTCGGAGTAGTATTCACCATCGCGGAGGACGAGTGCTTTAGGATTTGGGCATTGGAAGGACTTGTGCCCTCTTTCATGGCACTTATAACACTCCAATTTGCTTAGTCCTCCTCCTGGCCGCTCCTGTTGTCCAATTTGGACGACTGATTTTGACGTTGCTGGCCGATTCGAAGCAGGGGCTTCAGCTTGTGGATTTTTAGAAGTCAATTGCTGTCGAGGTGCTGCCGGAGAAACGCGACGGCCAGTTCCCAGTTTCAACTGCTTCTCTACTTTGATGGTGAGATGAAGTACATCTTCCAATTCCACAAAAGGCTGCAATTACACTTCATTTCGAATTTCTCGACTCAGCCCATGGAGGAATCGGGCAATCGTGGCCTCTCTGTCTTCCCTGACGTCAGCTCGCATAAGAAGCAACTCGAGCTCCCGATAATACTCCTCAACACTCCTTGTTCCCTGTCGAATTCCCTATAGTGTTTCATGGAGTTCGCGCTGATAGTACGCAGGAACGAACCGCCCTCGCATCAAGGCTCGCAGCTCCTCCCAAGTTGTTACCGGAGCCTGCTCATTTTGTCGGCGGCGAACGTGAAGTTGCTCCCACCACTGAGCAGCGTACTCTGTGAATTCGTAGGTAGCTAATGCTACCTTCTGTTGGTCCGAGTAGCGCCCATAGCGCCCACATTGAAAGAATAACAAGATCTTTCGTTCCCAATCCAAGTATGCCGATGCGTTCAACGTACCCTGAAACGCCGGCACAGAAATTTTAATCCCAGGTGGAATTCCTGGCTCGTCGTCGCGATTTTCTCGACGATCTCGCACATGACGCTCAAGGTTGGGTTAAGCTACGACCAGACGTCGTTCAAGCTCCGCAATTCGATCCAATACTGCTGGATTTCCGTCGGGAATTTCACCGTCACGAACTTCCCTGTCCGGAACTCTGTTTTCCGGTGGCGCAATTGCGTCAAACCGTTGATCGATTTCGCGCTTTAATTGACCCAATTGCGTCTGGAATCTCGCGTCAATCTGGGTCAAAAACTCCTCCATGTCGAATTGATGTCCAGCCATGACTTGTTGGATCTGTTGATCCTGGCTTTCGGTCTTCGACGCGTGTTCTGTTTTCTTCCGTCGGAGAGCAGGATCAGCTGACGCAGTCCCTTTCGATCTTGTCCACGGCGCGGTTGCCGCCACGCCTTCCTCCGTTCTGTCCTCTGTGTGGAACCAGGTGATGAAGCCACTTGATAACACCAAAGGCAGCGTTGGATCAGAGTCACGCAACCCAAACCCAAAAGAATTGAGCTTCTTGATTCACGGTGAACAAACAGGGCAACTAAACAAGCTTGGGAAGCTTGTTTCGTGATGAAGCGGAATGGAAACGAGAGGGAATCCTCACACCTGGGAAGATGCACAGTCGTTATAAGGTTACCTTCGAGTGATCGAGTGAGGTTGCTCGACCAATAGGCCAAAGTTCAGCAAGTTTTGATCGCAACCAAAACCAAAACAACTCACAACTCAAAACGTTGAGAATTTGGGGTTTTCTTCACAAAACAATTCTAACTTCAAGATTGATCCAATTGGGATCATATCAGCCTCCCTCCGAAAGAAATCCATACGGCCTAAATTTTATATCCATAATAATCTATTTATCTATTACCACACTTCACTAGGCAGCAAGTCTTTCTCATTTTCTAGAATTTTTATCTAAATTCACTCGCATGTAAAAGGGTTAATATTTTCGTATGGCCTGAACTTTGACAAAAATAAACATCCTGGCCAATCTTTTCGATCTATAACATTCTGGCCCGAACTATACACCAAAATAAACAATTTGGCCAAACCCGATGTTTGACCGTTAACTTGGACGGTCAAACGCGTTGACTAACGGTCAACGCGCCACGTCACTGCCAAGTCAGAAGATTTGATAAATATTTAATTTTTTTTGTTTTTTATTTTTGGTTTAACTAAGGTATTAGATGATTTTTTTTAATTTATAATAATTTAAAATTAGAGAATGTGTGAAAATTGTGAATTATTTTAAATATTTTATGCTGACTTGGCAGTCACATGGCGCGTTGACTAACGGTCAACGCGTTTGACCGTCCAAGTTAACGGTCAAAAGTCGGATCTGGCCAAATTGTTTATTTCGGTGTATAGTTCGGGCCAAGATGTTATAGATCAAATATTTAAGTCTAAAAACAACTACAAACATAAAAATCCACCATTTGGAGTTTGCAATTATAGTATTTCGGTTTTTCGGTGGAAAATTTGGAAATTCGGTTCGGTTGAAAGAACCCTGATTTTCGAACTATCCATATTTTCCTTCCGAATTCCAAACCGAATAGTATTAATTCGGTTTCGGTTCGGGTTTACAGAACCGTTTGCTAGGTCACACTATTTACAAGATAAATTTAAATTAAATATTAAACTACAACAAAAATAATCAAAATATGAAGTCAAAATATATTTAGTGAATATTTAATGAGATAGCTTACCGTTGGAAAATCTTAGAATTTTCTGATTTTAGTTTTGTGTTTGCAAATCTATTTTATGCGATTGTTACGACCCTTCTTTATTCTGAAATGATGCTAATTCAAATCCCTGTATCATTTTTGTTGGGAGATTTGAAATGGAAGTCACTACAATTGTGTTCAATCCCATACTATAGAAAAATATGTAGTTAACCAATTTACATGGCTGCCACTAGCCCACTACCACATCGAAAACCAGTGTAAAGAATACTCGCTTCATATTTGCCATTCACAGCCTCTGCAACTGTGTTCGTAGAAAGGAGAGATGGTTGGCATCTCCCCTGACAGGGACGGGAACGGCTTTCGGGCCTTCTTGTTACCAGCACACCCGGTTAAGGCTTTCCACCCTAGCGGTGGATCTTCAACCCAATTTTTTCACCTTCCCTTCTGTTTTCCTGTGCGCTCCAGAGATGGATTTTACAACCCGTTTTGCTATCTAACTCGGTGGGTTTTTTCATTCAGTTGAATTCTCGATATCAATTCACTAGCACAAGCTCTACATCCGGGGGCAAACTTCGCATTCAATCTCTCGTTGCATCAGATAATGGTTTGTGAGGGAAAGGTACGCACTCCAACTGTTTGATCAAATGCTTCTATGAAGGACATTTATATTGCTGAGTGAGATTTTCCCGGAACTTACTTTGGCCCTCTGGGAACCCTCAATTGGTTCATTGCAGAAGTGTCTCGACATGGATGCAATTTCATGTTAGCCAATGCTATCGAAGCAGTCTCTAATAGAATATTGGTAGTTCGGCTTGGGAATATAAGCCACTTAGATATTAATATGCTAGTAGCTACAACTTCTCTATCCTGGAAGTGCTAGCAGCCACCTGAGTTTCTTTAGATGTAGAAGATTCTTTCATTTTATCTCATGGCCCTTTAGATAGAATCTAGATGGCCAACACAATAAGCTAGCTGATGGTTCCAACAGGTTATGTGTATCTTCTTTACTTTTAAAAAAATAGTTAGGGTTTTCTGATGTCTTTTCTCATTTAATTTGGTCAGGGTTTGTGGTTTGATCGGGATTATGCCTTGTGAATGCTGCCATGTCTGAACACATTGTTCTGTGCTAACTGCTAAGCAGACAAGGGATTTCGCTGTAAAATAACTTTTGGATCATCCTAAAGCCGAGCTTGCATGCAGTGATTGGAAGTTTCTCTGTCTTAAGATAATACCAGGTGCATTTTTAAGAACACATCTTGAATATTTTTGGTAAAATCTGAATGGTGAATGCTGAATAGTGCCATGATATTGTTTTTAGGCATCATAGACTCATAGTTTAGTAATAATTGTAGAACGTTCCTCTGATGTTGTGGGTAAATTTGTATCCAAATGATTGTATGCTGTTGTTCCCATCAAATTCAGGGGAACTAGTATAGTAGATAGCTTCTTTGCTCTGTCTCCTTGCTTTTACTGTGAGAACACTGTGGTAGCTAGATGCATTTGACGTGAACTCTAGGGATCACTCTGTGCTTATAAGTAGAATCTGGGTTGTTAATCATGTTCCTCTCAGTTGAACTAACATGGTGGATGTTCTGTATATTTACTCTCCTTGCTTTTATTGCATGAGAACTACTGAGGCAGCTAGATGTATTAGTCTAACTCCCTGTCAAGTGAACTCCTAGGTGTTCATTATTTCATTATGAGCAGATCTTGTGTTGTTAATGTCAATTTTGCGTGCCAGACTCGGAGTAATGAGAAAGAAGACAAAAAATGACACTTTCATATCGAGGCCTGAAGCTATCAAGATTCTGAAAGAAGTTCAAAAGGTGGAGAAGAAGAGGATTGTTAAGAGAACTCTCTCTAATGAAAGAAGTTCCAGAAGTCACAGCATGGTATGTATGAATTCTTTCCGAAAGTTCATGAAATTGAATGTAATTGCCTAGTTCCTTTCTCACTTGGAAAAATTACTTGTGTCTCTTCATCTTTCCTTTCATATAGATTATACTAGATGTTCCAACAGTGGGAGGTCGTTTGATGCTTGTAGACACGGTAGGATCAGAAAACATTGACCAAGCTGGGCAAACTGGGTTTGAGGCTAAGATGAAGGTAGGTAAAGTTGGCAAGTCTAAGTTGCTTTAATTGTAAAAATAATGTCGCCTTCATATATTGTAAAGTCAATTTAAGGGAGTTTTGAGATTTGCTTCGTATGGAATAAACAGACAACAAAGATAAATCAACGGAACATAGCACTAAAAATGGTAGTTGAGTAAATCGCAAATGGAGGCTCTTATGTGCCTTTCAGAGATAACAAGTTGACTATGCTGCTCCTGGCAAACACTTCCTTCGAGTTTGGTTATGGGGTGAAATATCTGCTTTCTTTGAATTTGGATTTTTGAGTTGTCTTTTCCAAGTCAAGTCTGGAACATTTGATATAAGAAACTAATATAATATTTGGTTCATCGATTTAACTTTGTCATTTTTAATGTTAATTTCAGTATCGTGATGGTATCACTCAGCATTCTGTCAAGACTTCTACTAGTGGTGCGAGACAAATAATGTGATTCTCTTCTCAATACCAGTAACTTATCACTAATCTATAAGTAATAAGTTTATGAGGCTAAATTAGTGTACGCAATCACTAATCTATAACTAATGTTATAGTCTTTATCACTAATCTGTATTTATTATTGCTTGTTCTATGCTTCAGAGCTATGTGCCATGGTCTGATGTGCAAAAGGCGTGTCTTCTAGCTGTTGTCCTGGCTGACTTGAGTAGTGGCATTCACTATCTTGCATATGGAGACTGGATTTTATCAGGTTGGTGTCACCTTAAAATCAGCTTTCTTCTTCAATAAGTATTGTTGATATTAGTGAAGCAATATCTTCTCTGTTCTTGAATACCTTTTCCAAATGGCTCTTGGAGTTTATCCTTTTCCAAATGCCTTTTCCAAAATATGCGGCTGAAAGTTGCTTTTCGCAAACCCAGGCGAGCTTATTGAGCTTTGTCCTCTGGTTGGTTAGACTATTGATCGAACATTTCCTTCCTAAATCTGTGGTTTTAGGGTTTCTGTATTGATGAGTATGCAATCTTCCGTGTTTCATGTCGATTATGTGTCCTATTATCAATCGACGTGGCAACTTGATGATATGGCCACTAAGTATTTGCTAAATGAACAAGGGTTTAGAGTTCCTTAAATCCCTATTTTTCCTTTTTAGTATGACTTGGGCTACATCAGTAAGACAAACAAAAGATATTACATTGATGGCTGCTGCTAACAGTTTCTTAAGTTTAATTTTCTTTAGTAGGTACCTACTGATTTTGATTTATTTATGTATCTGTTTGGAGTAAAGGCAACCTTTTCTCAAGAGGATTTTCAATGGAGAAAATACAAGGTATGAATGGTACAGAACTCATGTAGAGAATTAGTGGAGAACTAGAAGAAAGAAGTTTCGGAGACTTACCAGTGCTAGTAGTAAAGTCTCCTTTTCTTCTAAGACTTACATTGATGAGCAGTGGCACTTAGCAGTAGCAGTAGTAACAAAGCTGGTTTGAGAGTGATTTATTTTGATTGTAATGTGACAGAGGGAATACTTATTTATTTTGATCAATCATAGATGGTATAAGAATGATTTTTTTTTTCGTTTTATGATTGGTTTATATTGATTGAATCATTTTAACTAAAAAGCATAACTAAAAGTAGTGGTGATATTGGTCAATCGGCTGATGACACTATCAAAGCCATTTAGCGTCGGTTACATTTTGTTTACCATCGATTACTCGGTGATGATTTATTTTTTGATTTACCGTCGGTTGTTTACATTCACCGTCGGTCAGTAACCGCCGTGGAAAAATTTAGTGTCGACAGATTCGCCGACGGACATTGTTGACCGTCGGATAGAATCGGCGCTACATTCATGTTCTGTTGTAGTGTCAGGATGTAACTTCCTATGTCATGATGTTTCATGTCAATGCAAATGCTGGGGGATCGGAAGATGTTTCGAGGTTGAGAAAATTGATGAGGAAAAGGGAATTGGAAAAAGTTGCCTGGTCAGAGTGCTGCAGAGGTAAATATTCGACTTCATAGGTTTCTGGTAGATTCAAAACCTCGACCTTCTTGGCCTATTATTGCTTGAACCAACTAATGTTCTTTCCTTCTCCAGGTCTGCTACTACCCTTTTTATTTCGATTTAAAAATCATTATTCCTACTTCCCGCCATCTAAACGTGTAACGACCAGCTTTACCTTCAGCTTGTAGATAGATAAACCCTGCCCTAATTCTCTCTTTTCTCCTTTCCAAAAAGCTAATACCCAAAATCAAAAGTAAACTAAAGTAAAGCTATCCATCCTTGTCTCTATCTTCTTCATGTTCCTTGCTTTGTCTCTGGGTCTTCTTCTTCTTTCACTTTCATTCTTTGCTTCTTGCTATTGCATTATGATGCATCTTCCTTTATTACTCCTGTCCTCTAAATCTGAATCTCCTCTCATTCCACGTCACTTCCCACATGTTGTCACTTCAATCACAGGCTCCCTTCTCTCTCTCTCTCTCTCTACTTTAGGGTGACTTTTCCTTTTCTCTCTTTCAGTATATACAAAAGGTTGCAGGAGAGGGATATTCATTTCTGTGCATCTGCAGTCCCATGCACATTCATAATCTAATCTAGTCTAGTCATCAAAGCAACAAAAAGGGAGGAAATAAAGTAAACATTTAGAAATTTTGGTGGTGTTTGTTGTTGTTGTTGTGGTGGGTCTCAATCTTCTCTTTGTTAATGTGCTGGGAAGAACAGTGGCGAGGGATCTCTTTTGAGCTTCCCATCCATGACTCTTACTTTGCTCATCTTCTCTTCACACCAATGCAATTGCTGCTCGCTTAGATCGCTGGTTCTCAGTACCCTCGACACCACCTGGAGGTCGATCAATCCCATCAGTATCTCCATCTCTTCCTCCACCTTCAGTTTCCTCTTCCTTAGGCATTTCCCGGACCGCCGTAGATCCTTCAGCTTCATCTTCTTCTGCAATATTGCAGAAAAGTTACAGTTCAGTTAAATAATGTGAAATTGCCCAGGATCATGCACATTATATTGACCGGAATTTGGAACTTTTTGTTGTTTTACTTTTCTGTTGACTTTCTTCATCAGATTGAGGAGTGCGGCATCGACCAAGGCTCTTCTGTTTCTCTTGAAGAATGATGCTATAATCTGGCAGGGCCTCTCCTTATCAGCCCTGAGAAAGCACATGAATGTCCGAATCCCGTCTTCCATAATCATCAGGAATGCAGCTGATGTGATTCTTGAGCTGAACCCTTCATCCTTCTGATCTTCCTCGGTATCTTTGACACACAAATGTACAGAACCAAAAGTCAGTAATTGAACAGTAAGTAATGCTGTAAACAAAGGGGGTAGAAAAAAAAACAGGGGTGACCTGCTTACCTCTGTATTCTGGAACGAGAAGCAACTTGGGTGCCAAAAGCCTCATCCTGGCATAAACCTCAGGCCTCCTTCCTTGCTCATATGGCTCATTCTCGACGTACCTCTGAAGAAGAACTTGAAACTGCTGGAACTGTTGCGCTATATGGGCCGGGCAGCCTGGATCGAAATCGCGCTCTGTAGCTCTCTTGCGCAGGAAGCTGATGTAGTTCCAGTTGAGCGCTTCCCAGGTCAAGCAAATCTGAGCTACGTAAGCAGATTCCAGCTCGTGATAAGGATTCTGCCGTAACTCGGAAGGTTTCTTGTTAATGGTCGCAATCTTGTGCACTATCCTGTCCGAAATCGACCTCGGGCACACTTTTATCGACCTCAGCGACTCTGGTTTAAAAGAAAAAGATCCAGACTTTGATCCTATAAATCATAAAACAGGGGGAATTGGGTAAAACAGAGTGATTGAGCAGCAACAGCAATGAATTTACCTGTTTCCTGAAGCTTCTGGGCGCTGATTCGGTTGAGGAAGATCATTTCCTCGTCGTACTTCTGGAAAACGGTGTAGGATTCCCATTTGGGGCAGCTTCGTCGGGAAGAAGAGGAGAACGGGTCTTCTGTGCCCGAATCCTTGATCGAGCTTCTCCACTCGGTGGAGCTCTTTGACGTGGAACCCACGGTACACGAATCCCCGAATATCTCCTCTCGTTCGTCGTCGCGGTCATCGTCGTCGATAATGTCCTTCCACTGAGTTGCTTGATGAACAAACTTCCTGGAATCCAACTGGGTCGGCTCGAAGACCAAAAACTTCTCCTCCACCTCGGTACGAAACTCCTCTGCTTTCTCCTTGTTCTTCTTCCTAGAGTCTTGCTTCTCTGCAACGTAATCACAAATGTTACAACAAAAGAACAAACAGGCAAAAGGCTGAAAAACACAGGACGGACCCGGAAGATCTGTACGTAGTGTAACTGACGGGATTTTGGTACCTGCGTAGGTTGCGTCAGGGTCAAGAAAAGCAGAATGGGTGGTGGTTTCTTGGAGGTTTATGGTGACCCGTGATGTGGGTCCTTGTCGATTCGGGACAGAATCAGGGAGAGCATCAGCATGATGATTATCTGCCGTGTGAATCTGTGTTTCGTCTTCGACGTCGCCGGATTCTGATCCTGGTGACGAGCCAAGGACCGATGAGAACAGTTCATCACTAGTACCACTGCCATAGCTGCTCCCCTGGTCTTCTTCTTCTTCCTCTTCGGGCAACAGGGTCGGGTCGATCAGGAACTCGGTAAACCCAAATGGGCTGCGGCTCTGGTGGTAGTAGGCATCGTTGTGGTCCTCTTTTTCTTCTACTTCTTCTTCTTCCTCCTCCTCTTCGTCGGAGGTGAAGACATACTCTTCGGTTGGATCTCTGCATGGAAGACAGAAGTTGTAAGTTAGAATGAAACCATGAAGGGCAGAGAAGGAGAGCTACTTGTTATGATGTTAATGGCGGTCAGTGAGGGAGGACCTGTAGAGGATCGGGTAGCTGCCGATGAAGCTGAGGAAGGTGAGGAGAAGAGAAATGGAGGAGTAGAGGAAGAGGAAGAGGAGGAGGGAGAAGCTGGAGGCATTGTAGAACAGCCAAACGAGCCTCTCTTTTGAACAATGTTGCATTTTTTTTTTTGCGAAAGAGAGGAGGAAATGGATTTGAGTGCGCCTATCAACTTTGAGACCCTCTCTCACTAAAGCAAAGGCAAAGCAAATTAAGCAAAGAGCAAAACCCACTAAGGCAGAAAGAAAAGGTGGTGTGGTAAGGTAAGCTCTGCTTTAGTTTGCCTTCATACCCTTCTTCCCTTTTCTTTTGGGGGTCTTTTTTTGTTTTTTCATGTATAATCAAAATCCTTTTCTTCTCCATTTATATGGGTTTGCTTTTTCAAGTGGGGGAAATGACGATTACATCCTTCTTTTAGTTTGTGTTTGTTGTCATATTTTGATGTTGTGAAGTTTTGCCACTTGGGGAGTGATGAAGTTAAT